AAGAATACAGTACGTTGTACAAAATTCAAATTATTATAGATTTTAAATCTAACAACCTAATAAAAAATAAATAAATAAAATAGACAACCACAAATTACACCCAAACTCACGAGAGAAATAAATGTAGAGCATACAAATATTTTCCCGGCTCGGGAATGCCTCTGCGTGGCAGTCCGGCATGGTAACCGTTGACCACGGATGCAGTTATATCATCAATAATTAATTGGCATGGAAATTAATATTCGTGAGCATTCGGAAGTCCGATGATTGTCGAGGGTCATTGAGAAAATAGAAGCACTGTACCTGTGTTGTGCGCTGATTAAAATAAAGTTTATGTAAAATACAAACGTAATTGTTAGTTGTTTAGTAAAGATACATATTTCTGAAATAGATCTAAGTAAGGAGCGTTGGTTTTCTGTTCGGCGGCGAGGCGATGCACTTGGACTTCTCCTTCGGGAGTTAATAAGGCCTGTAATGAGATATTGAGTATTAGTGACTAGAGATGGGAAAAACAGCTTATATTAATAATGTTATTATGTTTATTTGACATCACAAGTACAGGGAGCAATATGACAAGATTTCCAAAAAATAATATAATAAATAAGCTTATGGTAAATTGACATTATATTTTAACATTTTAAGATTTCTCATAGACGGATGGATCCGACAAACAAGCACATAGAAAAATTCGTGAGGTCCGCTGGTTCGTTCCGTGGCTTAGTTGGCATAGCGTCTGGCACGGTTTGCTAGAAGACGTCGGTTCGAATCCGGCCGGATCGAAGGACTTTTTCCTAAGTGTTCGATCTTTGTATTAATAATTATAACTTTTTTATTTAAAAAACTCCAAACCGCAAAAGTTCGTGGAATACATCTATTTGCCAAGTTTTAATTGAAATCGGTTACCGGAAAGTTGGCTAAACCCGGATTCATCCCCTAATAAGCTACCCTTAGAGGTGGGATATCTTCTTCAAATTTAAATAGGGCAATACTGAGGTACCCTCTTTAAAAAAAAAATCATCAATATCGGTTACAAATGGCATAACGTACAAAGAGATACAGTCAAATTGAGAACCTCCTCCTTTTTTTAAGTCGGTGAAAATCCATAACAGGTTTAACTGGTGAGTTAACCACATACAAAATTCCTACACATTGAAAAATTAAGCTACACTAACAATTACTCCAATGAACAATTTATATTAAACGTGAACTTACCAAAGAACAGTCAGCGTCAGCGCATGACGTCGCGGCGTTTGATGTCACATACCGCGCACAGATGTCGCTATGCGTCAAGTCCCAAACGCACAGCGTGTTCGAGCGCAGAAGACAGGTAATGCTGCACGGATTGTGGTGCGGCCAGTGTAGTGAGGATATGGAACACTGAGAACAAAATCCAGTATGGCGAAGTACGCATATCGATTTTCTTTTTTAATATCAAGTGACGGGGCGAACACGTCGTGCGCCTGATGGTAGGTACGCTACACGCCTGTCCATAACAGTTGCAGTGCCACTCAGAGCTCTAAATCGCAAAAGTCTTAGGGCCACTACCACTGCGCCCGTCACCCTGGGACATAAGGTGCAAGTCTCATGTACTTGTAATTTCCCAGCCCCCTTACCCTTCAAAACCGGAACACAGGAATGCTGACATTAATACTTGGCGGCAGAAATAGGCAAGGTGTCAGTAATTCTTACTTATTTCCTCTTTAATATGAAATATAAGAAGTTAGTTTTTTGCCTTGTAATATTTTTCACATATTGTTCATGAGTTACAACTATTTTCAGAATTTTGACAAATATGCGTATCAATAGATATCATTGTGTGTTACAAACTAATTTATAAATTAACCAGCCCTCGCAGCATGGCTACGCATGATATTCGCGACACGCGCGATAAAATTGGAATATGCGCGCGCTATTGGCTGTCTCAATCTGATTTAATTTAGATAGCCAATAGCGCGCGATTATTTCGGCTACTGAGGAGACTACTGTAGAGATGGGAAAAACTACTTATTTTTTTAAACGTTATGCTTTTTTAAAAAAGCGTGCTTTTTTAAACGCTTTTTCACTTAATCACTTTTTAGTTTTGAAGCTACCAAAATCGTTTAGAAAACGTTTAAGAGCATAGACTGACCAGTGACCAACGCTTACACTTAATGTGAAAAGCGTGCTTATGCGCTTATTTTAAAAAGCAGGCTAAACGCCCACCTCTGGGCTAGTGTTAACGTCCCATTCAACAGTAGATATTACCCCCATACCGCCGCCACCGACAAATGCAATCGGCGCGCTGCTCAGTTCAGTTTGATCAAGCGCTTCGATCGTACGCACGCGCACGCCTCTGTGTTGTGTATGCGTAGTGAAAATGGCGACGCCAGAAATTGACATTTCTGAGATAAGACTTAGTGACTTTTTATTCGAAGATGTTTTGTTTAAAACATTAATTTGTTAATTTCTGGCGTCGCTATTTTCACTATGCATACACAATATGGAAGCGTGCGTAGGATCGGAGCGCTTTATTGAACTGATAAAAATTTGATTATTATAGAAAATACGTAATTTTATCCTTTGACAAAGTATTTGTATAATGGTTTTTGTAAAAACAAACACCTTTATACAAATTCGCCTCAAGGTCGCGCTCCCGCAGCCGAAACACCGCCACCGAGACTTTCGTCGGCGCGCTGTCGCCGCGGGTTGGTCTATTATCGGCGCTCATATCTATTCGGCGGCGAACTATGGTTGTCAAACGACACAGTGCTTACAATGTGTAGGTTGTCGCCTTTGGCGTGTAAATGTAGCCGACCTATTAGTGTGCCATATTAAGAATCTATAACACCTCAGCTCGAAAAAAATTTTTTCCCATACTTATACGGTTCATTTTGCTTGGGTCAAACGGCACGGACACTGGCTTTATTTCTGAATTTTTTACATACTAAATCAAAGCCATTGGAAAAATGAATAGCATACCTATAGTATACGTGCTTTATTTAGTTCAGTTCTCATTAAAAAAATGGTATATACATATAAAGTATTGAATACATCGTTTTCTTGTATGTACAGTTTCGAGGTACGTTTGTGTTTTTTTTCTACCGTGAAAATTTTTTGAAATCATATTTTCACACGTAATTAGTGTATAATCTTCCATATTCAACATTTTCACTGTTATGCAGAAGCAACCAAAGCCGTTTGAGGTTGATAGACTCTTAAGTATAGAAAATAACATTGTAATTGCTTATTATAGTACGAGAATGTGTCCTGTCACTCGTGTTTTACCTTAGAATCGACTCTATCTGCGACATTGTGCGGATGTGATGACCAGCATACAGACTTGCTGCTCACATAACGCCCTTTGCTATCAGACGTGCATTTGTCCGTAACATCGCTAGAGGGACTGTTCCTGAGAATCAAATAAGGATTTGTCAATACTGTAAGATACGACTTTGTTCAATTGATTTTGTACTGCATGTTTTTTATAAAATTCCATTTTAAACGGACAAACAGATATTCAAACGATTTATTTTCATTCACAACAAACAGTAACAAAAGTTGTTGATGTAGTTCCAGGAACAATAGTTATTTATTATGCAAGGCTGCAAGGTTGTTGCTGCCGAGCGAAACACACAACTTTTCACCTCTCTATAGCGAGGAAAAAGGTGGGTGAAAGAAAAATAGTTCAACTATAACAAAATAATTTAATAAACAATATTGGTTATCGTTGTCAATAGAATGTCAACAATAATAAGAATAAAACATACCAACAGATTTATATTACATAAATAATATACGACAAATCGCGTAGTTGAACTTTTTTCATCGAAAGAAAAAGTTAGATGCACCACAGTCATCGAGTATATAACCAGAAATAGAGACGAAATGTCATTTATTTTGTTTGAAAACTATTCTGCCATATCATTACTGTGAACACTGCGTCCCGATTGGTCAGCCCGAATTCGAAACATTCACCATGGTGTCTTCAAAAATTGAAAAATTACGTATTTAATCATTGACTTACAAATAAATGGACGACGAGTCTAATACAAAAACCACGGAAAAAATGTCCCAAGTCAACCTATTCGAAATTTAAATTGTAATGTCATCGCAGTATCGCGCTGTCCGTAGAACAAATGAAGACTAAAGCGGAGTGTCGCGCTCTGTATACGATTTTAGCGCCTTACAAGTGCGGACACTTTTTAGCGCGGACCCGACGTTCATATAATTGTAAGTCAATGTATTTAATATTAATTTTTTATTGAATTGATATTCAATTATTTTTTGTGAAATTACTCTACTAGCTTGTTATAATTATTAAAACAAAGATCGAACACTCAGAAAAGTTCCTTCGATCCGGTCGGTTTCGAACAGACGTCTTCTAGCTTACCGTGCCAGACGCTACACCAACTAAGCCAAGGAACAAACAAGCGGACCTCACGAATTTTTCTATGTGCTTGCGTCGTGGCTTTGTATTTGGTTTTTCAACTACTTTTTAGTCGTAGCGCCATCTATGAGAAATCTATGAACACGGATCGAAGGAATTTTTCTGAGTGTTTGATCTTTGTATTAATAATTACGTATTTAATGTTTAATTACCGATGAAATGTGATTAGATGTTTTGCTGTTTTGTTCACACCACCAAATGGAACAGCCCCCAATGTTAGAGATTTCTTTATTACAATAAATATACAGATATTTTTGGAATATGCGGAGACATATACACAGGTCAGTTGGCGCTGCACTATTTTAGCTTTCTAATTTGTGATTTCAGTGCAAACGAGAGTTGATATTTAAAAGTCTCATTTCCCTAATGAGTTGCCAGGGGTGGATGCTCCTTGTTTTGTCTCTATTTCTGGTTATATACTCGATCACCACAGTCCATCGTCAAATTCGAATTACAAACACCTTTTTCACGCTAACGTGGAAAAAACTTTATAACGAGAAAGAAAGTATTTCTGAGCTAGTGAAATGAGAAAATTGTTGTTTATGATATTATTAGTAACATGGTTCTGCGAGGTTGTTGGTACTTTACAAATAACTTTGTCCTGTTTATTATCAATATTTTGATAGTGTTGCCGTTTTAATCCGATGATACATATCTATATATGGTAATTTGTACTCGGACGCACTTGGAAATCCGAAGACTGCCGTACGGTCTTATTTGTGTTGAAGAATAGTCGTAACCTTTTTCATATATTTTTTGTTTTGTATTTTTAACATATTTTTGTACTAATATTATATATAAATTTATTGGACTATAAAATGTTTTCCCAACTTACAGACAATCCAGCGTAAGTAGAACCTTAGCATCTATTAAAGAACACAAGTTGACAGTTCCAGTATCGGTGGCTGCTAAAAAGTACGGTAAACCGTGTGAAGATACAGCCAGGCAAGATATTGATGAAGTGTCCGCTGGAAGGTGATAAATTACTATTATAAATTTATATGTAATTCTGTTGCACCTTTCCTTTATTTAGTAGAAAAAAATACAGAGGTATAAAGATTAATAAAGCCTTAAAACAATTTATGATAACAAGTTATCAAAAAATGCTTCGTATCATAGAAAAAAAATAAATTAATCGTATTGAGCTATTGCTACAAATATACACTATCGATTCGTCGTTTAGATCAGTCGACGGATTGTGAAGACAAATCGTGTGTAAAAATATCTTTTTTAAACGAAAAAGTGGCAACTCCACACAATACCTACCTTGCAATCCTGTGGACATTTACTTACTGATGCATATTACGAATGGATTTTAATGAAAATCGATGCATGGGTATACGATAACGAGTTTTTGTAAGTATCGATTAATTTTTCAAGCGAATCGATTCAATAGTCCTTACTATTGAATAAATTCACTGTGCATTCGCCTTCAAAATATACAAGCAAACAATAAACATTTTGTAATAATGTCATTACATTTGAACAAAGTTCGGTTTACTATTTAAATATTTAGTTGTAAATAGTTTATGCCCTCGACTTCGGGCATTAATGGGTTTTAACCCGATTTAAACCTAGCGTTAACAAAGCTTGGTTAAAACCCGGGCGCTTGCTCATATCTGGTTACCCCTGATATTCTTATAAATGTGCAGAAAAAAAAACTTACTGGCAACACAGACTCTCCGAACCTTGACCCCACCAACGTTTCTAATACAGCACAAAACTTCACCGCAGTTTTTGGCAACCAAATAAATCTCCTTTTTATCCAAAACAGCAATTTTTAAATCACAGCAAAGAATACCATTTTCCCAATTGAAAACATTACTTTCGGTTGAGAACACTTTTTTCAAACTGGCAGTACTCGTCGGTCTTTCGGTTTCCGAATGTTTTTGGCGTGAAATTTTAAAACTTTTTTCTATAAATTTTCGGTTAGACAACCTCTTTTTTGCCGCATTCAAGTTAAAGTTAACACGATTTCTATCTATGTCATTTACGATCGGTTCTATGTGGTCCATCAAAAATATAGTCTGTGTTTTTTCTAATTTCGTTTTAGACCAATAAGCTTTGCCGATGTCTAGGCTTTTAGACTTTTCTTGCACTATAGACCAGATCGTTAAAATGCCTAATTTTTGTAGGGAACAAATCTGTAACCAAGAATGCAAAATCTGATTAGAATTCTTATACAAATATTGACCAAACATTAATAGATCGCACGTCAATGTCTGGAAAAGTATCGTCATAAAATCAAACTGCTTGGATGTCAGATTTGTAGGCAGTGGCGGATTTGCCCTAAGGCCCAGTAGGCCCGGGCCTAGGGCGGTCAGGTTTTAGGGGCTACCAATCGTTACACCGCATCGTAATACAATAATATTCCTAAATCACTTTCGTATATTTTGTGCACAAAATATAGATATGTTACATTATCTATAATGTAATATATAATCACTACATCTCTACATATTATCACTACCGCGTGTGTCTGTCGGTGTGATCGCGATAAACTCAAAAACTACTGAACGGATTTTCATGCGGTTGCCACCAATAGACAGAGTGATTAGTGAGGAAGATTTAAGTGTATAATTTATTTAGGTTCATAAACGAGCTGCCTCGTGTATGAGCAACTCAATACTATAATAAAGTAAATTCATTATGTAGTATATGATGAGTGCTGAGAAACGGGCGGCTGGTACTGACTACATGGCCTGAGGTCTAGGGCGGCCTGATTGCAAATCCGCTACTATTTGTAGGCTTATTGTTTGAGTGAAAGTGGAATTTTAAATCATAGCGGCCTTTACACTGACTATCGCGCGTGATACAACAATCGAGGAGAGAGGTTTAAAGATTGTATGAATGGTATTAGTCAGTTAATGTTTTATGCTTAATTAGTAGAGAAAATTTCATATACGTAACATTATAATATTTTGCGTGGTTATTTTTGTGATCTTCATGTGACATTGCGAAATAAATAAGAAATTACTAACGAGAGTATGTAAGAATTTCGTTCGGCTTGTAATTTTTACCGCCCGTGCTACATAGAATGTTTTTCATGACATTTGCGGAGAAATAGATACAACGATAATTTATTTCTTGTATGAAGAAATATCGCTTCACAACACAACATTTACGGACATTGCAAATGGCTGGTTTTTGTACTTTTTTTTAAACAGATTGCCTGCTATTTTAAACCTTTCGTCGTTATGTAGGTATGTGTCCTTTTTACACCAAGTTAGTGCGTTATTTCGTAGCTGAATTAATTGTATAGTACGCTGTCTTATAAAATGCCTAGTCGCGTACTATACAGCTGTAAGTACGTCATAAATAAAGCAAGTTGAATTAAAGTACCTGTCCGATAATCTTTCGTTCACCATCTTGATTAATTGCAGTTTCTCTGACAAATTCAAGACCTACTGTATTGTCAATGACATTATTGTAATTTATGTTGGTAGCACTGCTCGTGTACGCGCATGACAGGAGGAAGCAATCGAGTGTGGTCTGAAAAAAAATGGCGTTTAATTTTCAAATAAAATAGTTTATTTTATTGGATAAGGTACGGCAGATTACAGATACGCATCGATAAGAACTATTCTACATAAATGAATATAAATAAAAAAAGCAATCCGATTATAGCTATACACAACGCTTTAGTAAAAAACAGTGGACATTTAATACCTAGAAGAAATTATTTAAATATGCTTAAGAAATAAAAAAAAAATAGAATTAAAGATATAAAACATAAAGCTTACATAACGAAGTGGTGGATTCGAAAATAGGAGTCTTCTAAAACTGTTGTAACTACCATTATACACATCGTGATCAGAACAGATATCAATGTAATATCTACACATTCTGAATCTTTTATTAGCAGTAGAGATCCTTGTGCCACCATTGCCACCTTACCAATTTCTCCTGCCAAACAGTAATGTGAGAATTACAGCAGCGTTCCGGTTTTGAAGGGTAAGGGTGCTGGTGAAATTAGATACAGAGACTTAGCAACTTATATCTTAGGGTGGCTTGTGCAGTGGCAGTGCCCCTCTGATCTTAGTGATTTTAAGTTCTGAGCGGCACTGCAACTGTTATGGACAGGCGTGTCGCTTACCATCAGGCGCACGACTTATTCTCCCTGTCATTTTGTATCATTTTTTTTATAATATCAGTGACGGGACGAACAAGTCATGCGCTTGGTGGTAAGCTACATGCCTGTCCATAACAGTTGCAATAATTAGTGGATATATACTTTGTAAATTCCATATAACTTGTTCTAAAATATATCTGTATAAAAGTCCATAGTGCAGAATGTTGCTAAATTTATTAACCATGATTTTTTTTTTTTTCTTATAACATAAAGTGACGGGACGATTAAATTACAAAGAACTGAGGGGCACTACCACTGCGCCCGTCACCCTGAGGCATAAGGTGACAAATCCCATGGGCCTGTGGTTTCACATCAAAATTTCACATCATCGACAAATCCTGAGACATAAGTTGACAAGACCCTTCAAAACCGGAGCACAGTAATGCTGATATTACTGCTTGGCGACAGAAATAGATAAGGTGGCAGTACTTCCCTGGACGAACTCTTTCGCAAGGACCTCTACTGCTATTAAAATAAATAAACTAAAATAAAATATTTCTACAGTCCATACCTCTTCTAATCCAATGTGGCTATTCTTCAAATTCCACTCCCTGTCGATTTCAATTTGAGTCAGACGATTACTATTGACTTCTACCAATTTTTTATTTTTTTCTGCGCTAGCATCATCGCCGCGCCATGTTGGTTCTTCAGAGAGATCCCAAAGGTGCAATGAACTGCAATGTAAACGAATTTTTAATTTGAAACCACTGACTATCTAACTCTTTATTATGATTATTCCCATCTCCAGTGAAACACAGCCACACTGGTTCAAACTAGGGAATTCCTGTACTTCGAGTATCCGACTAACGGCGGTGCACTTCCCAGAACACCCAGACCAGAATTAATTTAGAAAAGTTCATTTAAATTATTATTTAATTACAGATAATAGCGACATCTCTCGCCAGGGCTGGTAGCTGTAAAGTTCTAACCTAACTGGGTGACGAAATACTTTCATAGATTTCTCATAGATAGCGCTACGGAAAAAGTCGTTGAAAACCAAAAAGATCCGAGCACATGGAAAAATTCGTGACGTCCGTCCGCTGGTGCGTTCCGTGGCTTAGTTGGCATAGCGTCTGACACGGTTTGCTAGTAGACGGCGGTTCAAATTCGGCCGGAATAAAGGAACTTTATCTTTGTATTAATATGTATGTAATAATCATAAAAAGTTAATTTCCTAAATTGGTCCTGCCGGCAATCGAACTCGGGTCCTCCGCATCCAGCGCCCACGCTTTAAACAGTTAGGACACCGAGATCATCAATTGAGATGCGAAACCATTTAAAAAAATTACACTTATACGGAAAAACAGAGACACATTATGCATTCCGTCATTTTTCACTAGAGGGCGCAATGCTTATTGAAATAATATTAGGATCTCTTCCAATGTGCTATATCGATAAAAGTGTTGACTCTCTAAAGGCCGCTTCCTATGGCCTATGATTACAAACGCGCCGATTTGAACGGGCTAGGTCACGGCATGGGCGAGTCCGGGCGGCCTCGTGCCGCCGCGCGTACTCGGGTATGCAACGAGAGCTTTTTTTTCGCCTTTGAAGTTATGGACCTGCAGCGGATTCGAACAGGCTGCCACTGGCGTGTTTGGGCGGCCCTCTCCCCCCGGCGTGTTTGCGCGGCGACGGCCACAAAACGGGCTACGGGCCGTTAGGAAGCCGCCGTAAGAGACCCCCCACACTAGCGTCTTCCGAGCGTCCGCGTAGTAGCTGTGGCCGCTGTGCGTGCGTCTCTTATAAGGACAACAATGTTAGACTTAAAAGTCATCAAGTACGTGAGGTCGCCCTTTTCGTGGAGGAGGCTTGAGTACAGAGGGCTGGCTGTATAACATATGTGTCTACCGGGTACCACGTCAGTTTTCTTAAAAATATGAATCAGAGACTTACCCATCGTCTAACGCAGCGACAAATATTCCATTAGTGTCGCCTCTATATCGACCAATGGCAACGTTGTCTATGGCTATTAATATCTTGTGAGGTTCCAGTCTAGCAACACTGAGATCCCATAGACAAATTATGCATTTTCCTGCCATAATTCCATTTGAACACTTTGTATGTACAGTTAGAATAAGATTTGATTTTGTTTCGGAAAATATTATGCTTTTAATATTGGTGTTTTTTAAGATATTCTTATCAGGTAAGTTTTCTAAAGTTACAGACGTAGAGCCTTTACTAAAAGGCAGATGAGTATTTTGAGATAATGCTACAATATTTTGACCCGTATTTAGATTTAATATGTTAAAAATCCTTCTTTCAGATTTTTTCAAAAATTTCCTAAGTTTATTTACATTGTAGTTGTTATTTTCTAGTTTGCTTTTATAAATTTCAAATGGCAACATTTGATCGGAACCAACGCCATCTTTTTGTTCCAAATATATTCTCAACGGATTTTGTATGTAATCTTGATTCTGACTTATCTGATCATTAATTTCGATATCCGATTTTCTATTTATTAATAACGTAAACTTTGATAAATAATCTTCATCATTTTTAACACACTTTTGTTTATTATCGTTGTTATTTAGATAAACATCACAACTTGAAAATTTTACCGGATATTGTGTCCATTTATTATCAAGTGATATCTCATCGGTTTGGACCTCTTCTGTGATACCATCGTCAAAAGTTTGTATTGCAATTTGTGTATAATTAGATCTTCCAAATGTTGCCATATACAAGTCATAAGGTATAGGTTTCATTTCAAATAAAGTGTAGGACATTTTATGTAATATAATCATGCTCAACAGGTCCTTAGCACGCTGCTTTAATTGTTCGTTTAGTCGTTTTTTGGATTTGTTCTGTTTTGATTTTGAAAAATCTATAAACAGAGGCCTGAAAAATAACAACAGTTCAGTAAATTTCTTAAAATCATAACCATAAGGTTCAAATTACATGCAGCGGAATGGAAAAAAGCCAATGTCTGAAATTGTATAAAGCATAATTTATTTTAAATTTAACCTAAATGCAAACACAAGACGTAAAAATAGGGAATTTATTGCGTTCGCTATTAATTTGTACTAAAACTATGTCCCTGAAAATTGCACTACATTTTATATAATTGCACCCCTCATAGAAGAATGGCATAAATGAAGTTACGTCAAAAATGTTTATTGCTCCATTGGATACAGAAAAATATAACCCACACGAGTTAAAAAATTGGAGTGGATGTGGGTTATATTTTTCTGTATCTAATCTCCATGAACGGGTTCTGTACTATCCATAAACGGACTGGCAAAGGAAGAATACCTTGAATGCCTTTAGGGTGTAAACATATAAAAAAGCTTACTTTTCCAACATATCTACATGTTTCATGTTAAGAACTGCGCTCGAGCTGGACATCTCAAGAAACCCCTCGTCAGTAAGCGAGGTTTTCTTGTTTTCAACGTCTTCGGAAGCTTCCAGTATGAATTCCATTTGGGTCGGTCTGCGGTTTGCTGAACGTTGGTCGCGGAGATCGTAGCTTCCTGAGAAATTGACAAGATGTTGAAATTTTTTACTACTATAGCAATGCAGTTATTCAATTTTCAAGCGAGGCTTTTAGGCTATAGTCCACCATGTTGGCGTAATGCGGGTTAGGGTGCATATCTACAGATCTGGCGAATGCTCCTTGAACACGCTGCAGGCGTGCTGCATGCGTGCAATTAAATACATGTACACGGGAACAGACCACACAACGTAATGCTCGTGCGCAGCGAGCCTGCTGCAGCACATTCGCCAGATCTGTACGCACCTTAAGGGGGATTTCACACGCTTTCCGAGGGGTGTGAACTTTCGTCCACGTTCAGGTTTTCTCAAGATGTTTTCCTTTACCGAAAAGCACATCGTAAATTTCAAATTAAATATCGCAAGTAAATTCCGAAAAGCTCAGAAGTTTGAATGAAGAAGAGGAATTTGAACCCACAGCCTTTACTCGAGAGGCGGTAGGTTAAACAATTAGACTACCACGGCTTTTTTCAAGAAACAAGTTCTTTTTACTTGTATAAAATATTTACTGACCTGAATCCAACATTTTCTCTTCATCTTTAATTTCTTTAGCACCGTTTCCGAACTCTATATTATCTTTCCTATTAGCTACACCACTACTTTCTCCATTAGAATTCTCTTTATCATAATTTTCTTCATTAATGGAATTATCACTTTTCTCTTCGTTACTATGTTCTTCTTCGTTACTCGTTTCCCCAGTCGAAACCTTTGAACCGTCACTGTAGTAAGAATCGAAATCTGATTCATAACTTTCGAAATCATCTTCATAACTGTATTCCTCTTCACTCGATTTATCTTTTTTAACTTCCGGTTGTTCCTTCTGAAAGTTAATGCCAATAGAGACTTAAATAAATAAATTTACTTTGAAAACCAAATAGAGGTAGCTGAATTATTTTTCATTTTTTAACTATCACCTGTTTTAAAGGCGACGGAAAAAATATAATGAAGCTTAACGACAAAGTAGGTTTTCGGAGATATGTGGTATAGTGTCGTGCCGAATTGAGTGGAGGACGATGGTGTAAACCGTCTCTGAATTGAAAACCCGATTTCTTATAACAATGATTTACAATATCTTACGATGACATAGGCTTAAAACCATAAAAATTACAAGTATATTGCCTACCTACGAATGAGTATCGAGATGGTGTCTATTCATTAGTAAGGATATTGCGTTGGCCGCTTTAGCCAATATCACAGAACCTATATAAACTGTAGAAATGCTTAGTGAGTGTAACACGTATGCCAACAGTACGCGGAGTTCCTCAAACTTGTGCTTCCGCCATTTTCGCTTAGTACGTTATGGTCGAGTCCTCGAAATCTCGAAATCGTGGAAAAATGCCTTATTTTGCTACTTTCTAGTGCAAAAATGGTACCTATAAAATCGCACTTATCCACGATGGTGTTTTATATCACCGCTATGTCTCATTTTATTTTAATAAATTTTCCGTTTTCTGTATATCACAATAGATACTGTGTTACAAGAAGTGAAAGTAAACCTTATACCGCTTTATTTTATGGTCAGCTTTTTTTTGGAGAATGTTAATAGGAATCGTTCGTCGTCTTTCAGATATTGTCGCTAGATGGCGGCACATTAATGAAATTTCAATATAAAATGAAAATGTAACTTGCAATGATAGGTATTCAAATTTCAACGATATGCCAAGCGGTAATAATATGGCGTGAGTTTCAGCGACAGGCGTTCTGATACTTATCGAGGCATTGAGGCACTTCCAGTTTTTTTTCTTCCGTCGCCAATATCTTTGTTAGGAATGCTTTTGCAAGCCGACATGTCATCAAACATTTTTGAAATAAAATATCGGCGTGATTGACATGTCGGCCTTATTGAAAATATGTTGTATCCCACGGTTAACATGTTCGGCAATGAATGGTCGATACGTACCTTTTTATGCTTATCATCCAACTCAACATAAAAGGCTTTGGGTTTAGCCTTTAATGTTTTAGTCAAATTAATCATCTGAGCATTATTATCAACGACTGTAGGTGTCAACATCCTCACCTCGTCGTTGGTTAATGTTCTTGTCTGTGTTCTTTCTCGAGTATCAATTTTGTTGTTCTCTACAGTTTTAGATTTCAATTGGACTTTGTGTACTTCTCTAGTGACATTTTTGTCTGTTTTTTTAGGTTTTGAATCTGTGAATTTATAATTTAATTGTAACTTTCATTAGCGAATATTTTCACAACATGTTGGTTTAAGTTTAAATTATCCAGCAACTCAAATGACATACAGTAAAATAAAAATAAAATCGTATTTATTTGCCGTGCAAAATACATTATACAATACAAACAATTATAAAATCAAATAATTCGTTCATAAAAAAAAAAGCATGTCAAAACCGTCCATGATTCAGCATTTGAGGACTGTGTTAATTACATAGCCCTCGCTGATATTCTGCCATGGACTATCATAGAAATAGAACACCACAATTAAAAAAAAACTAAATTCAAGTACTTAGTAACAGAATCAGACAGTAAATAAATTAAATTTGACATAAACATTTACACATGAAAATAATAATCAACTTGAATAATAAGAACAATAATAGTAAATTTAAAATGCACAATGCCAATTAGACACAAATACACAAGCAGCTATTGCGCAAAGCCCACGTCCCGAGATTGCTTTTGAAACAGCCACAGAAAACATTTTCGTTTGAACGTTGGTAGTGCTTGATACAGGCATTTTACGTCAAAAACTTCGGATGACAGCCCATCATCAGCACGATTGTCGGCTCATACAGCGCACATGTTCGCTAATAAATGTGGAGCTTTAGACCAACAATGTTGCGAAATTTGTGAGAAATAATTTCTTTCATTGACACCGTAAATATTGATATCATAACTACGTTCCTCATGGCGCATTTACACCAAGTCGTCAGGCGAGTTTCGCAAGCTACCCGGTGTGAATAGTGAGTCGTTTGACGACAGTCGTTTGCACCCGAAGACGACCGAAGCGGCTGGGTGCGTCGTGGCGGCAGACTACTAAGTGTAAATGGCAAGTCGACCGTGTCGTCTTCGGCAGGCAAAGTAGTCTGCAGAAGGTCGGCAGACAACCCGGTGCAAATGCGCCATCATTCTGTCTCTGAAGTTCGACTACACATGTTACAATAGAGCTTATTCTTTTATACCATCCATACTACTTTCATGTTTCAGAAATAATTACTACTAGGTCCCTATATTTAATGTTTTGTTGGGCAATTGGCAGCTAATGGTGTATCCCGCGGGCCGTGATGTCAAACGTGCCGATTTGTACGGGTGTGCTCGCGAAGCCGGCGACTCCGGGCGAGCCGACACGCATGGCGGCGCGTATTCGAGCGGCGGCGGATCTGAACTGGCCGCCACGGGCGAGCACGGGAGTGTTCGGGCGGCCCTCTTCCCATGGCGAGTTCGCGCGAAACGCGTGACGCGGGCCGCGATATAGGCCACGGGCCGTGGGAAGCCACCTTAAAAGGTACTTTAATGTGAATTAGCATGAAACTAATAAAGAAACTGGCAATACACATACCTTGTGAAGAATCAATTTTCTTAAAAACGTTAACCGGATCTCTATTCAAATTCAATTTCTTTTTCACAACTGGTGAGTTAACTGTCACATTTGAAAATGGAACGTTTCTTGGCGTGGATTTTGACGTTCTTCGATCGGAATCTAAAGCTTGTGGCTTTACTTCTTTTTTAAATCTGGGTGTTTTATCGTACGTCGCTTGGCTTACAGAAGAAGGTGAAGACTTCAAATAATCCTTTATAGGAGCTGCAGTCGACACATTTGTATTACCTACTTTTTTAGAGCTTTTGGCGCCATGTGCATTTCTCTTTTGCCCGTAAACATCAGCGGCCGAACTCTTTTGAACAAAACTCCGTGTTGTAGAAATGTTGCTAGTAGATTTTTTTAATTTTTCGTCTTGTAATTTTTTTGAAGATGTTGGTATTGGATTTTCTTCGCTTTTGAGTTTATTGGTTTTTTTTTGAGAAGTAATCATTTTGCGTCGTAATTATTCTGAAAATAAAAAAATATCCATGAAAATATAATGTACGTAAGGAATTAAATTTAAAATGCGAATTTAAAAAGCGCGGAATGTAGACTTATGCACGTCTGACCTACTCGGAGATCCGGGGGGAAATGACGAAAATAGCTTAGTACGCCTGAAGGGAATTATCGACCAATTAAGAATGATACCGTACTGGATGTCCGATGATAAAAGGACGAGGGATGAGTTGATGGAGCTTATGGGCACACTCACCGAAATATATTCTGTAGAAAGTTTCTCTGTTCTTGCTGGGCAATTAAACAGAAATCAATGTCAAACTAGAAACAGAACCTTTTTGGAAAATTGTTACATACTTATGTATGTTAGTGAATGTTGGGTTTGGCAGAAGAAGCACGAAAGTAGAATTAATGCAATAGAAATTAGAGTTATGAGAAGTATAGCTGGAGTGACTCTGGTGGATAAAATACGGAACATTGTCATAAGAGAGCATTGCGGCGTAGAAGAAGATGTAGTGACAAAGATAGAGAAAGGGATGCTAGATGGCTCGCACATGTAGAGAGAATGAATGAAAGAAGAGTGACGAAACAGATTTATAAGGCGTGTATGAGCGGGCAATTTGGTAAGGGCCCACTCTAAGGCAAACTTACCATGGCCAAATTGAGGCCATCCTAAAGAAGGGCCAGGTCAAGGGTACCTTTAACCGACGAGCGTGTATGAAAGCACTGATGCGTGTTGATGAGGCGATAGAAGTGTGTCAGGATCGTAGCAAGTGGAAGACTGTTGTCTCTGCTTAACCCGATGGGAAAAAGACGTGGGGTATATGTTGTTACATAGTGTAATCTAATGGGTGTTTTACTCCCTAAATATAGTATGATATTCAATTACCTTATGACAAAAAAAGCACTTGTAATAATAAGTAAATAATAAATGTGAAATAACAAATAACAAGAAAAACTAACGACACCAGAAATCAATACATAAGTACATGAGTATGTAATAGAGGATTATTCGAATTGTGTAAACCATCGACATCATAACCTTATAATTTATAATATAATAATAGGTTATGATGTCGATGGCGTAAACACAGACGCCATTTATTTACACGTACTTAGTCTTGTTATTTGTATAAACAGCCCCAAATCTTTCTTTCTACATTAGTTTTGATTATAGTGACCCTCCCTACCGATCCTTACGAGAAGGGGCCTATAACCTGTGCGCCCACAGGAACCTTGTAAGTTCAGGTCCTGACCCCAGATCAAGTGTTTGCTTGACTTCATCCGGTTCTCGTGAGGCTAGTGTCTCGGGTGAGCCGCCCCGAGTGCACGTACAGTGCCCTCCCTATTTTCCAGATAGATACCGGAGCTGTAGGCATGCTCACTTCCCGTTGCGTATTGCACAATTAGCGGTTGCCACCGCTAAGCCGTCGACTATAAAATCTCCTCATTGGTGGCGGAGTTGTAAAACACGCTCATTACGACGTCTCTTCTGTTCCCAATAACCTAAGCAGCTGGAAGGACCGGAGGGTATCTAGCTTATCCTCTACAAGACTTCCGAGTTAGTGTCGGAGATGCCAGGCACAGTATCCTGCGACAATGTCCGGACATAGCATCCAACTTAAAGGGCAACTCACGTGCCCCGCGTGTCTTCTCGCCTGGGCCCTCAACTAGACCGCTACTAAGACGCAGTAGCTGCGTTCGTCCAGGGAAGTAGGTACTGTCACCTTACTACTCTATTAGAATAAACATACTTCCATAACCAAACTAATATTATAAATGCGACAGTAACCCTGTTGGTCTGTGAAGTTATCACGCCTAAACCGCTGAACCAATTTTGATGAATTTTGTGTGGAGACAGATGGGGCATTGAAGAAGGGCTACTTTTTGTCACGAAAATAAATCTTAGTGTAAATAAATGTTATACGCGCCGTAGTGAATCGATTCAACCGCGCGCAAACATCGCGTTGCAAGCAAGAAGCTTATATACTGCACCGTAGTTTACAATTAGAATTTCATGTAGTTGCTTCATTTCAAAAACTAACTGAAATTAACAAAGCTAAAATTAAAACTATCTCTTATTGTTACGGACGGCCGTTCGCGTCTGGCCGGTCAGAGCAGTATGTGAAGAATTACGTAAATAATTCAAAAGGGCTCTGATTGGTCGGGCGGCGTCTGCGGCGCATTGATAGAGTCGGTACGGTGTGGGTGACGCCGTATCCGCATATATATGTATAAGAGAATCTTGTAAGATTCGTTGATTCACTTTCATTCCTATTCGATATTCCGAACCGAGTTGTTGTTCGAGTTTTCAACTTGTAAGTCAGTTGCACATAGAGATAAGCAGCTTAATTTTGATTGCTTCACCCAATCGGGAACTGCATGTTTCCGAGTCGAGGCGCATAATCGCGATTCACAACTGGCCGATCGGAAACTTTTGATATTTCAAATCGTAACAATGGTTGATTTAACTCGCAAATTGGAAAGATATAGTAGGAATCAGGTTCATCTTCTCGCTCGGAAATCCATCTGATTTCGAGACTTCCCGGTTGGTTCATTTTCCTATTTGAATCAAAATCAGCGTGCAGGTGTTCAAATGAGTTTCTATGGAATGTATAGTCCACTTCCCTATGTTTCAATAAACCGGAAGATTTACATTTTACACAGTTTTATTGAAGAAAAGAAGAATACCGAAGTAAGTCTGGTGCGATTTAAGGCTGATTCAGCCGGGATGCAACACTTATCAAAATGTGCGACGTATACGCGAGTCGTCGGCACGTATAAAATACACCGTGTGTATAGGCTCTTAAAGGGGGTGAAATAAGAGACAAATTTTTTTAAGGAGAACCAATAAAACTATGAAAATTAGCATAACGATGACTTACTTTCTCAAACTCGCAGCTTAAAAGAGTGATTATTCGGGAGACGACAAAAGTTTTTCTTTATTTTTAAATTTCTTATAAAGGGTATTAATTTGGATGCATTACTTTAAGAATTGGCACAAGCCAGTGTGTGAATATGAAAGAAATGTGATGTAAAATCAGGCTGAAAAAATTGTACATACAATCCAGTTTTTGCATTTCTGTAACTTTGTGCTTTAAGATACGAGTTGTACGAGGTGATGATAACACAATATGCTACTAGAAGTACGTACGCTATGCAGACGAAGTTCCGGACACCAGCTAGTTAATAATAAAATAATTAGTCACCTTGACAGCTATGTAAAAAACTAGGTCACTTGAGCAAAAACACTTCCACTTACGTTAAAACCTTAAGATATTTTTAAAATCAATAAATAAATAGACTACACAAATTATTTAATAATTTTCCATTAAATATAACAATATATTTTGTTAAAGTTCATCAATATGAGTAACATAGCAATGACACAACATGTTATACACTTTTGAGGTTTCCATGGTAACTGTAATTTCAAACATAGTAGCTTAAAGGTAGACACGCATTATACAGCATGATGCTACCTTAGGCTAGTCCTTTATTTTTTAACCGACTTCAAAAAGGAGGAGGTTCTCAATTCGACTGTATGTTTTTTTTATGTATGTTACGCGGTAACTCCGGTATTTGTGAACCGATTTTCATGATTCTTTTTTTGTTGGAAAGAGGGTACCTCCATAGTGGTCCCATTTAATTTTGAAGAAAATCATCCACCTCTAAGGGTGGCTCACGCATGAAGATTCATTTTTATAAATAGTACCTAAATTTTATTATAAGGAGCAATTATTCCAATGGTTGATTTTGCTAATCTCCAGTTCAAGGCGTTTTTCTCTCTCAAAATACTTTGAGTAGTGAGAACTGATTTTTATTATCTTCTGTGTCAAGTCCCGTGTAGTGGCGAACTAGGGGATGAATCCGAGTTTGCGCACTTTCCGGTAACAGATTTCAATAAACCTTGGTAATTGTATGTAAGTCCATGTGCTTTTGAGGTCGGTTTTTTTAGTACTCTGTACTGAGATTATTTCCATCCTATGGATGCTACAGATCATGACGTCATCAGCAAAGGATTTTTTTGTTCTCTTTGCAAGTTGAAACCGCAAGGTACAACAAGGTGCCAGTTTCTTGCCTAAGATTTTTTAGCTTTGTGATGATTTTTTTAATAAATTATTTATTATTTTTGAAATTCGTTGTTTAGGCATTTCACAGTTGAATATAAAAATAATATTTGAATAAAAATCATCGCTTAACCAACAATAATTTGTGAATTGTATGTTTCAAATACAAAATACGCAATTTTAAAGTTCAATCGTTTAATATTACACAATAAATTGTTTTCAATGACCGGGCACCGCGAAAGCATTGGAAAATATCGATTACAAAATACATTACTGTCAGATATTCGATATACCAACTATAAGGCACATTTTCAGATAGTAATTGAAATATATGTAAGATTTCGATTCGTATTCGTACTGCCAGCTGGTCACAGGTGCTGGTGGACTGTCAAAATTTCATACATTCGGCTTTCACAAAACTCTATGTCTAATTCTATGTCACATTACACCGTATCTATTTGAACTTTAGTAGCAGCAGAGTTCCTTGTGAAAGAGTCCGTCCAGGGATTTCTTTTTTATAATATCATTGACGGGACGAACAAGTCGTGCGCCTGATGGTTAACAACACGCCTGTCCATAACAGCTGCAGTGCCACTCACGAGGTTTAAATTACAAAGATCTGAGGGGCACTGCCACTGCGCCTGTCACTATGAGACATAAGTTGACAAGTCCCATGTGCCTGTAATTTCACCAGCACCCTTACCCTTCAGAATTGGAACACAGTAATGCTGACATTACTGCTTAGCAGCAGAAATAGGTAAGGTGGCAGTACTTCCCTGGACGAACTCTTTTAGAAGGAGATCTACGACTACTATACTGCACAAAGTACCGCTACCTTACCTATTTCTGCCGCCAAGCAGTAGTAACTTCTGTTGGTTTAACTGTTTATGTTCCGTTTCATTGCCGGCTTTACCGACGGTGCAGCGAGCGTGCGCACGAGCGCAGGATGTAACCCAAGGGCCACGAGCCGCAACGCCCCTAGCAAATTCGTTAGCTACAAGCGTCAATAGCAAATATATGATTTTATTTATAAAAGGTCACAAAGTAGCGTTGCAATTTGCAGCGAAATTATGCTACGAGCGAATTTTCACGAGCGTACGCGCGTTTCTTTCGGGGCGAGAACAATTACACGAGAAAGTTCCATTAGTGTCCGTTTTGAAACAAATTATTTTGTTTTTATTTGTTGTTTGCTTACTACTGAAAGCATGTAGTTATTAATTTGCATTATTATTATTAATAGATATTTAGAGCATATTCCACCAAAAATATTAATCAATATTAACTATTTGATTCGTAAATAGAATTGTACTTGACTTCCCCTACCACCGAAGACGAATTACCAAACTTTGTGGGTGTATTTTGATGCTTCAAGCGTGGCGATACTTTCATGGTCGAGGTGCCCCTAATCACTAGAGTCGGCAATTGCTTCCCAACATAATTTGAAATAATTTGAGAATAGGCATCCCAATCCTAACTTTTTTACTACACTAACTAACTAACATGAAAACAGACTAATTTACTATTTTGAAAATTAATCAACCGTATAACATTTACAACAGGAAGAATAGTTTTATCACACTTCCATAAAAAATTAATCATTGCTAGTTGTTAGTGACATTCCCCCAATCCGCCTCAAACGGGCCAGGAACTGCCTTCTGTATTCTTCTTATCTTCAATAAAACTCCTTTTCTTTTGTCTTAGGAAGTCGACTGTTTATTTCCATAAAACTTATTTCTATGTCTATCTGACTTATCGAACAAGAATATCGAACGCGACTGCACATAATCACAAATTTATTACAAATGAGACAACGATAATAATTTTCATTTATATTTATACCGATACGGTGTTTCCCGTACCAGCCCTAGTAATACACCGTGGACGCCGCTCGGCCAATCAGAGCTCTTGAATCACTCATTATTGCTCTGACCGGCCAGGCGCGTACGGCCGTCCGTAAGGGTGTATTTCCACCGGCGAGACGATTTTTAAAACTTGTATGGCAAAATATCAATTCTCTCCTAGCGCATCTTCGGTGGTAATGGTCGAGATTGACGAGGATGGGCGAGACGAGAATTGAAATATTTGTTGACGTAACATTGAACCGTATTGCTGTCAAGGTTCATCGACTTAACGATATCCTGAATGCAGTATTTCAGAGGACTTACATTTGTAACTATTGATGTATAGTTTAGGCTGTAGAGCTCTTGTGAGAGAGTTCGTTTAGGGAAGTACTGCCTTACTTATTTCTGCCGCCAAGCAGTAATGTCAGCATTCATGTGTTCCGGTTTTGAAGGGTCAGGGTGCTGGTGAAATTACAGGCATATGGGACTTGTCAACTTATGTCTCAGGGTGACGGGCGCAGCGGCAGTGCCCCTCAGATCTTTGCGATTTAAAGCTCTGAGTGGCACTGTAACTGTTATGGACAGGCGTGTAGCATCAGACGCACGACTTGTTCGTTACGTCACTTGATATTATAAAAAAAGGCATTTAAAAAAATTATAATATCAAATGACGGGGCGAACATGTCGAGCGCCTGGTGGCAAGCGGCACGACTATCTATAGGTAACAGTTGCAGCGCCACTCAGATTAATTTCGAAAGTCTGTAAATACAATAACATTAGGTTACCTGTAATCCCTTTGCAGGTAAAACAATCTCCATTTAGTCGATTTGGCTTTTAAGTGAGTTTGTAGAGGTTTAAGCCAACGATATAAATATGATGAATGAAGTATGTTGGAATATGTCGTCTACCTAAAATTGGCAAAAGGAAAATTCACCAAAACTTGGCTGTATGGTTTTGAACCTTTGGCTTTTCCATAACGGAAAGGATCTGAAAAAACCTTAGAGGAAAAAACAATCAAAAGTTGACATCTGTGCCCGTCGCCAATACAGAGAAAAAAAGGCGGGTTTTTGCTTCTACGCGAATTAAATTTTAGTTTAAGTACATATAATATGTTTTAAGTTTCTTAATAATATTTGTTGCCTTTTTTTAGTTGACGATTCTATAGCTAATGCTCACTAAATAAATAATAATAATAACCAGAACGGACTGTAATTTGAAAAAGTTGTTCCCGCCAGAAAGCACGGAACATCCTCTTAGTAAAAAAAACTTCTTTATATTTTCAACAAAAATGTTTTTACACATTACTGTCTCATGTTACAGTTCAATAAAGCCGTAAATTTAGTTTATATTAATTTTCGGAATAAAAAATCGATTCTTTTTACATAACGTGGTATTTATTATAAATAAATTAATCGAAAATTGAGACAAAACAAACTAATTGCTACGTACATTTTAAATTAATATGTAAAAGAAAAAACTTAATTAAAAATAAAACAACATTTTCGATCGACATTGAGGAAATGTACTTTGATTGAGTTATACTTAATACACGTTAAATAATACAATACACAATACGTACGTATTCAATAAATACAAACAAACTTACAGACGCAAAGATCGTGCATCCACTGAGGCGACTAAAATGCTATTAAACTTTCTTTTTAAATATATGAAATATTTTACATGATTTGTTGTTAAAAACCACGGATCAGGTAAGCAACGTAATTCAAAAAAGATATGGTAAAATATTTTCTGATTTGTTGACTTCCGAATGCATGGATTCGTATAATACTATTCTAAAGATTACAATCCGGCAACGATAGTAGCAGGTTCTTCGACGCCTTCTTTTACTTTCCTCAAGAACATCACTGCTTCACGACCGTCAATCAATCTGTGGTCGTAAGTCAGAGCGATGTACATCATAGGCCTAATCACTACCTGGCCGTTTAACGCGATGGGTCGCTCGAAGATACCGTGCATGCCCAAAATGGCTGACTGAGGGGGGTTGATTATTGGGGTACCCATTAAAGATCCAAAGACACCACCGTTGCTAATCGTGAAGGTGCCACCGTCCATTTCTTCAATGGTAATCTTATTCTGTTTCGCCTTTTCCGCCAATTGCGCTATCGTATTTTCGATATCCACATAATTCATGGTCTGGACGTTCCTTATAACAGGCACGACCAGGCCTTTAGGAGTAGCGACGGCTACAGAAATGTCAACGTAATCACGGTATATAATTTCATTGTTTTCAATCACCGCGTTCACAACCGGTTGGTCCATCAACGCGTTAGCTGCTGCCTTGACGAAAGGCGACATGAGACCTAGTTTGACGTGGTGCTTCTTAGTGAACGAATCCAGATATTTTTTGCGGAACGCCATGATATTGGTCATGTCGATTTCGTTGAACGTCGTCAACATCGCGTTAGTGTTTTGAGCATCTTTTAGACGTTGGGCGATGCGTTGACGCATGCGGTTCATTTTCACGCGTTGTTCAGTACGGGTCCCAGAGATTTCCTTGCTGTAATCCGCTGGTGGGACTTTCACAGAGGCAGTTTCAATTGCCTGAGCATGACGGATTGCAGCGACTGGGATAGAGGAAATAGGGCCGCTAGAAGGTTGAGCAGAAGGAGGCGCTCGTTGCGGGGGTGTTTGAGGTGGGGGAGGTGGAGGCGGAGGGGCAGCGGCAGCTGGAGGAGGTGGAGGAGCAGCAGCAGTCGGAGGTGGGGGTGGTGGCGGTGCTGCCTCGGCTTTAGGAGGTTCAGGAGCAGCCGCCGCAGCCTTCTTCGGCGCATCGCCAGTAATCTCGATTCTGAACAACTTTTGTCCAGCTTTCACAGTATCACCATCCTTGACATACAACTCCTTTATGATTCCATGGCCAGGAGCCATAACGGGAATTGCGGTTTTGTCTGTTTCGATTTCAAGTACTACTTCGTCTGCTGCTACTTGGTCTCCCACTTTCTTATCCAGCTTGACATCGCCCTCTGATACGGAATCAGGAAACGCTGGTGTTGGTACATCTTGTTCTTGCCCAAAAAGCGGGCTCGTAAAATGGATTGATGCTGCCTGGTTTCGGGTAACAATCTTGGTTTTCGATAATCTTGCAGCGGCTTGGTTTAGGGCTCCGTAGACCTTTGGGGCTTCGGTGGAGTACCGGAGACTCTGCCCCTGTCTCCGGTATAATGTTTGCAAATGTTTCGAGCAGCGTCGCAACATTTTTTGGTTTTAGTGGAGGTTTTAGTACCTGCAATGTAAAAGATTTTTATCTATTTGGAATACTAATCTGGAATACATACTAACAACCTCTCACAATTTTATTACTAACATAAACAACAAGTTTTGTTCCATAACTTTGTACTATGTTACAGATAATAACCGCAATAAAGAAAATTATTAATCATTATAATAATTTAATTATAGAATTAAAACAAATGGAAATTAAAAAAATACGATACTTCTGGGTGTAAAATTAACTACATTAGTTCAAATATTGTCCTTATTAATTAAATGTAATTCCGTTACATGAATAATGTCCTTTATGTTAATATTAATCCAATGAGTGTCAAGCTATATTTTCATTTAATATTGTATTTGGTTTTGTATAATGATTTGAAATAAATGTTAATAAAGACTCGAATGTCTTTCTGTGTTCTTTATGACACCAATATACAAAAGAAATATTAATAATTGTAACTTTTCGTGGAATTACGTCTATTTGCCAGGTTTTATTGAAATCGGTTACCGGAAAGGGCGCGAAACCGGATTCATCCCCTAGTTTGCCAGCCTTAGAGGTGGAATATTTCCTTATATATATAAATTTAAATGGGTACAATATTGAGGTACTGTCTTTCCAACAAAAAAAAGAATCTTCAAAATCGATTCACAAACTGAGCTATCGCGTAACATACATACAAAAAAGAGAAAATCCTCCTTTTTTTAAGTCGGTTAATTATACAAAGGGTGAGCGACTATCTCTAAACATTTTTTTCAGCCAATCCAAGGCAGTGAGTGCAAACATCATAAGCGGGCAACAGCGTGTCAGAGAGAAAGAGGAAAAAAGAGAGAGGGATGCTATCAACATTTTCTTCAAGGAAGCAATCGATGGGCTAGACTGGATATGGAAAGTGTCTTTCATAATAACAATGTAACACAAATTTCCTTATCGCAAACCAGAAGTTACTAGAAACAAGATTACAGTAACGGAGATAATTCTAAGGCTAGTCTAGCATATATTATGATATAATGTCTGTAGCTTAACAACTGAATGACAGAGTGAGTACAGGAAATTGAATTGTTGATATAAGTGTGATATGGGATTTATTTCACGTTAGGTGAAAAACGACAGAAAAATAATCTTTTTTTAACGAAACGTTAATGCCAGAGGACTATCTGAGATGATGAGTGGCGTCTCTCTTAACTAAGGGTCTTGGCAGAATACCAGAGTCGTGAACAATCGCGGCATTTATGCTGAACTAGCGCCTTGTCACTGCTGTGATTTCCAAAGCTATCTAGTTTCATTAGTTCTATTATAAAGTTGTAAGTTCCTTTCCTGTTATTTGTTATTTTTAAAGGGTTTAATATAATAATTATTGTGTTTTAGTTGATTTTAGTAAGTAAGTTGTCATGAAAGTTAATAAATTTTTTTATCTATCTATCCGCCACATAGGTCTTCTTCATTTGTTTATGAATATTTGTCTGATCAGTTGATTTCCAAGAGATGTTGAACAATTGTTTAATTATATTGAAGTATAGTAAACAGCTTTCTTTTGTTACCAAAAGGTATAAACGCTGCAAAAAGGGCAAAGTCCACTGACAGCATATGGAGCGACAATGTGCTCCATTGATACACAAGACTGAACTACGCTGGTGAGGTCAGTTGCGCCAGCGCAGGGGAAATGAAAACTCACCCAGGTGGAAGCACGGGAGAGGTGAACGCAACTACCTACACGGTTTCCAATAAATAATTCTTTTACATATTTAATTTCGTAAAAATGAATTGTTATTAATGTTTGGATTAATGGCTTATATTATTGTTATAGTTAACAGTAGACTTAAGTCTTAAATTCAATGATTGAGCAGTTTCAGAAACTCAAAGATACTAGACAAATCACTAGACTATAATCAGCCGAGTAATGACTACCAATCTGTTAGTAGTTTAAGGATTGGTCACAGACAAAGACAAAAACTTGACGCTGTATCACATACAAGCATTTGGATCATATTAAATATTTTGGACTGTGTGGTACTTGGCATCTGACATTTTCATTGGAAAGATTTTTAATAGACACAATTACCATCATTGTAGTAAATATATACTACTTCCAAGTACCTTGTTGAGTGGAGGTGCTCTTAGCGAGTAATCATTAAATTTATCTACAATAACTATTATTTAAAGTCTTACATGTTTTTCTTAACAGTCATTATAAAAGATATCCTAGTCATAAAAACATGTTTTATGTTTACCGTGATAAGGAGACATAATTGGTTAGAAACCTCAGTAGGGCTAGCACGATAAGCCGCGACTTGCGCGAGAGCGACAAAGCGCGAGAATTCCATGCAAGAATAGCAGTATCTTGACCCTATGGTCAATGGTCAATATATAGGCTGTAAATTTGTGATGGGGCAGCGAGGCCTTACTCTACCTTAATTGTTGTAGTTACAGGAAGCGGTTCTAGAAGACTATCCATGAATTTTGAAGATAATTTGATCGGCATTCAGAGATTTTGAAAAAATGGTACAGTCAGCAAGAGAAAAGGCAATTTTTACAAAACTTTTTTTATGCCATTTGATCCGGTCTCTGGTAAGGATCAATAGTCTCTATGGGACCAACTGAAGTAAGAGTACTCGAAATGTCAGAAATCGCAAATAAACTTTTTATCAAATGGCCTTTTTTGTTGCTAACTGTACCATTTTTTGAAAATCTGTCAATGCCAATCAAAGTATCTTCAAAATTCATGGATAGTCTTCTAGAACCGCTTCCTGTAACTACAACAATTAAGGTAGCTAGCTGGCTTTGCTGCCCCGTCTCGATTGTACACCCTGTATCTGTATGTATATCAAGCAATATTGTCAGTTTATAGTTATCAAACTTGGACAAACTACATAAAGCATTTCGTGTTGCTTTACATGTTCAAAATAATTACTTGCAACAGCTGCCCATGTTTGCGCTTGCCACAACTTGCTGTAATGCTTTGCTGCCCCTGTCAACAGACCATTATGATTAGCCATTGCTCCAACGATAATGTCCTATTGACACGGGTAGCAAAGCATTACATTAATGTATGTTTATTTTAAGTAAGTTGTCATAATGAGTTCTCAGGTTTTTGCGATTGTTACACATAGGAAAAGAAACTATACTTCTGGACTTGAATTGGGTATATTATTTAAGCATTTTCATGTAAATTACATTGTAAAAACTTTGTACCCTTGTAAGAGTAAATAAAGATTATTATTATTATTATTTGTTTTTTCAAACAACCTTGACCATGGGACCCGTAAAGGGCCCAAAATGTTGTTTTGTAACATTTGGTATGTAACGTTATGTAAACAAATAAATACAAAAACATGTTTAAATATTTGATGGACCTGTGATACTATAGCACTTCAAGAATGTTTACACAAGCTCATTTTGGCTCCTTAAGTGTTATCGTGAGATGTCCATAAGCTTCTACGAGACTTGGGTAGAGTAACTAAGAGTCGTATTCCAGAACTCTACTCAATATTCAAGTCAGGACTTGAGTATTGCAGTGAGCACTGAAAATCATACACAAGTCCTTGCCATTAGGGTCATATTTCCAGTGCAATCCTGACTTGAGCATTGAGTAGAGTTCTAGAATACGACCCTTAGACTTAACCTATACTGTTTTAATTGGGTGTGTGTGTGTAAAAACAAATTTGTGTTAAAATACTATAGTTGAATAGGTTACATGAACATTACACACCTACTTCCTTCTTTTGTTTTGTTTAGTAACATGTAAGAGTAACTAAGTTGCAGTCTGTCACCACTCTACAAATAAAGCGGCATACATACTCAAGACCCGTTATAAAATTAATACGCCTACTACACTATCTATAGCTAGAAAATCTATTAACTAGAGACTATCCAAATTAATAAAAAAAAAGTGAAAAAATTACCTTTTTCATACAAAAAAATTTAAACAAAACACAGATAAACATTAATTCAATTGAATAAATTAACACATTGAAAACTGACCTTCATAATGCGGGCATATAAAAGATAAATTAACTTTGATAAGATACACTTGAAATATGAATAATAAATTTATCAAAGCATTGTGTGTTTTTTTAAGAGGAATCTGGAAGATTATCTTGCATTTATCTTATAATCATATTACTTTTTACAAAATTTATATAACAAGAGTGTCTGCATTTTTATTTCCTGCAATTTTTATGGGGCAAAAATACTGGCATTAGACATAAAAAATGATGCAATAAAAAAGCCATAAAACAAAAAGAATAAAACGTTTAAAATCGGAACACGAACAGCTGACCTTTCATTTTTGATTGACAGATTGAAATTTAAGAGAAAGGCAAAGAAGTTTTAAAAGAAAAATGTATAAAAAGTGTGATTTTTAACATACATTATCAATTTTAAGCAATAAAAGTTGTTAATTAACATGTAATAAGGCCGGTAAAGCGATTTACATCGGTAAAATGTGATTTGCGGCCAAGGTCAACCGCAAGAGAACTTTTAGCAAAATGTTGTTAAATATGTGACGTTAGTAGAACTCTTACCTTCTGGAGTAGGTAAACAACCTTTATCAGTTATAATTGTGATATTTAGATGCACAAAAATGTTACATAAGCTTGTGTCCCATGACAGTCCACTCACAAGAATTAAAATGTCAATTTTCACTAACGTTGTTTAAGCATAGCGTCTGTACGTGCTTTTAAAATAATAAACAGATACTTTACTTCGAATTTGACGCTGCTTTTTGTATGTTGAGGCCCCAAGAGCTACATTTATTTCGATTTTCAGCCCTTTTCAAGTTGGTCGGTGGCAGATGTCAAGTTTCGTGCAGTGTGGAAACAGCGTTTTGTTGTTGCAGCTGCATTTACGGTCGAATTTACTAAAATTTATTATTTTTATTTTTTCATATCACCTGTAAGACACTGTAAATAAGTTACTTCTTCGTAAGTCTAATAAACTAATCGACAATTATTATTTCAAATTGTGTTTTCATAACCTTGATTGTAGGTTTATTATAATAACGTTTAGTTTTGTTTGTTAGAGGTTTTATGTTTAGTAATTCTACTTGACAGTAGATGGCAGTAGTTGTGCTCTTAAAATTAAATGATCAATATTTTCTTTGTAAGTTTAATGTAAGAAAAATAATCGCCTTGCTTGGAACTAATACAAATTTCATCAACATGTAGCATGTCTATCGTAATAAAATTTATTCATCTTTTATTAACTCCCACTGTAGAAGATATAGTTATTATAGTACACATACGGACGGACTGACTGCGCTCTACACTGCTACTAATATTTTGAGTTTTATGCGTTCTTAAAGTACAAATGAATTTATTATTAAAATATTTAGATTTTTTCCTAATACATTGTTTGAATTATTAATGATCTACGTGGTGACAGTAAAAGTAAAAATAATTTTTCATTTTGGTTGTTCCAAAAGAATGTTGCTGATTAATTTAGTTTCATTAATGCTCCACTTATAGGAAAGTGTAAGCACTTTGAGTTTTATAATGTCTGGACTCAGTTATAATAATATTAACAGTAGAATATAATAATATTAACAGTTTACGTCAAATAGATATTATTAATTAAGTAAAACGCCATCTATCAATCATGTAAAATATTACTTGTTGTTCCACTCGACAACAGATGGCGCTTTTTCTTTAATTCACGAGACCGTTTTAAAACGTGCAAGAAGTCGTTTATCACAAATTACAAAGTTTAAACTACGTTTTGAGTTTCTTAATTATTTGTTCTTTTTAAGCTGATAGAATCATAGCTAATGCTAAAAAATAGTAGATACTGTTGTTCGTTGGAGAAAAGAAACAGCAGGATTTTGTGTTCTCATCTTAGGCACGATTGTATTTTTAATTTAGGATTTATTATAATATCATACTTTATGAGTAATTAAACAATAATATCGTTATCACTTGTTCAAAACAATATTTTATACGCTAGAACAGATTATTTACGCATAAGAGAAAATGATGATTTAAAATCAGAGTCCTAAATTTCACTATACAAATTCACGTTGAATGGATCAAAACAACAGTGTAACTTATTTCCAGACTTTATTGAAAAGTACTTATAAAAATGGCGTTTAAAATAAAGACTGTAGAGCGCAAAAGGCAGTGCATCTGATGTCAGTGCCAGCCGAAGATGCACTATTGATGACGTCACTACGCTGAATAGGGCTTGCACTTGCGAGTTTTGGAAAGTGTTTTTTACTTTTTACAATTAGGTATATAATTACAGGTTGCCTACGGCTATGCGACACGGAGAAAAGTATTTTAAATATTGTGGATTAATAAAATTTAAAATTAAAATTTATAGGAAATGACGATTTTGACGTCCTCCGTGGTCCAGTGTGTCGCCATCTCTGATTCGCAGCTGGCTCAACGTGGGAAAACTTTTCTATATTCTATAAAATAATATAAAAATATAAACTGCCTCCGTGGCGGAACGGTTACCATGCCGGACTGCCACGCAGAGGTCTCAGGTTCGATTCCCGGGCCGTGTGCGTTATTATTATTCTCTCGGCTCTGGGTACCTTCGTTGTTTCCGACTTCCATAACACAAGCGCTCTAGTTACTTACTTTAGAATCAGGGCAATGTTTGTGACGTTGTCGTTATTGTCTACTTTTTCCGGTGCTAATACGGTTCATTTTGCTTGGGTCGAGCGGTAGGGACAGAATTTATTTTTTTACGAACGAAATTAAAGCTTTTGAAAAATGTATATCGTTTATATGTATTTGTGTTCTATTTAGTACAGTTGATATTTTAAAAAAAACATTGATAAATGTAAAGTATCTATTGAATACAACTGTTTGTAAAATTTCGGGGAAAGTTTGCGGTTTTTTCTATCGTGAAAATTTTTAGGAATGGTTTTTTCACGGCATATGGTAATCACTATATCGTCAATTTTACTAAATATTTTTCCAAACTGATAGATTCAACAATTTCACTGTTTTGCGGAATCAACCAAAGACATTTGAGGTTGTACAGACTCTTAAAGGTTGAGGTCGTGCAGTTTAAGGTATCATGGCTTGTACATAAAGTGAAGTTGTCCACGTATAGTACATACACTTTCCAGACTACACACACACAGATTAACTGACGTGCACGACTAGTATGTTGTTGCGACGACAGACTATCAAGACAGTGGAAGAGCTAGAACGACAGCCGTCCGACTATGAATAAAACGTCACAATAAAAATGTGTCACGTTTTATTTAACGTTGTCTGCACGTGCATCGATAAATTGTCGTCACAATCTAGTGGGAACAGCTAGACACGACAGTCATTCAACGATAAAATAAGCGTCCACAACGCAGTCACGATAGATAGTCGTGATATGGGAACAGGCTACACGCGACTGTAGTCCAACGAGAAATAAAACATTACGACGTAATGGAAACGCGCCCTTACACAGCACTAAATATAACATACATAGCCTTACCATTTACAGCAGCTACAGAAGAAAGGCGGACAACAACGACGGCAAAGTTAACTTAAAACAAAGAGGCAGACTTAAGAAATCGTAGAGAGAGAACCCAATCATAAATATTAGTAGCAGTCGATCTCCTTGTGAAAGAGTTTACCTATTTCTTCACCTTACCTATTTCTGCAGCCAAGCAGTAATGTTAGCATTACTGTGTTCCGGTTTTGGTGAGGGTGCTGGTGAAATTAAGGTACATGGGACTAGTCAACTTATCTCTCAAGGTGATGGGCGCAGTGGCAGTGCCCCTCAGATCGTTGCGATTTAAAACTAGTGAGTGGCACTGCAACTGTTATGCACAGGCTTGTTGCTTACCATCAGGCGCCTTACTTGTTCGTCCCGTCACTTGAAAAAATATATATGCACTTTTACATAAAATCTACGCATGTTTAGGCTATTGATTTTTTGACAACCCTAAGTGCAGCACCATTTTTTGGTCTACTTGGCACCGTACGACGAGGTAACCGCATAATTTTCAACCGCCCAAGTGACAAACGCTTAGGCAAATGATTATGGTTCGCACCCACACCATAAGGCCACAAAATAACTTTCCAGGAGAGGTATTAGAGATTCTGCAAACGAAATTAAACGGTAACTTTTTATTTATTATAAAAATTCACATTTATTCTACTTTCTTCTATATATATTAGTATTCTATGCAATCGTTGCATAATGACGGCTCTAAAAGTAAAAAGGCATGTATTTAATAAATTAATGATCATTTTAAATTTGCAAAAGCAGCAGGCAATAAAATCTTTTTTGATGATTGATCCTCTTTCTCTGAGACATAAATTAAATCGATAGATATTTTTATCTGTTAACAAATTAGCTTTGATAGTTTTATGTTGGCCCTCAAAACTAAGATAAATGAGCGTTAAGAATAAAAATTATATACTTATTTTTAAAACTAAGTAAATGTTGATTATATTTCTATAACAAACAGAAAACATATTCGGAAACGCAAGCAAATTGACTTCCGGCATTAACCGGCCGCTGTCGCAGCACGCTCGATTAGCTCGCTCTGTTCGTACTGCTTTTTCATATATGAATATTGCTTGCTTGCGCCTGCATTCAGTAGGTTAGGTAAGGTTAGTATGTATTACTAAATGCAGGGCGCAACCAAGCAATTAAACTTTATTAGGAGATCAATATCAAAAGATAAACCGTTTATAAATGTCACCAATCGGTAAAAGAAACGTTCAATGATAAAAAAAAGAGGATCGAATATTATTTTTGAATACCAAATATTAATTTAATATTAATTTGGCCTAAGTAATAGGTACTAGATTTAAAGATATAATTATGTAATTATTGCATACAACAGTTAAATCTGTCATTATAATTTCATAAGCCCATCGAGTATAAACCATACCACAAAGACTTGTTTTTTTTTTAAGTTCGGACTCAAAATTCTATTGTCTATGGTGTTACTGAAAAATTTCATTATAGTTCTGTATAAAGATTATACGGATTCTCAAAGTCTAGTAACGTAGGTACGCTTTTGTGATATGGTTTATTATAATTGACAGATTATAATCTCAGTACAGAGTACTAAAAAAACCGACCTCAAAAGTAAGTGGAATTACGTCTATTTGCTAAGTTTTATTGAAATATCCCCTAGTTCGCCACTATACAGGACTTGGACTGGAGATAATAAAAATAGGTTCTCACTACGACACTACTCAAAGTATATTGAGAGAAAAACGCCTTGAATTGGAGAAATAGCAAAATCAACCATTAAATTGCTCTTAAATTAAAGTTAGGCGCTATTTATAAAAATGAATCTTCATGCGTGAACAGCTACCCTTCGAGGTGGATGATTTTCTTCAAAATGAAATGGGACCACTATAGAAGTACCTCCTTTCCAACAAAAAGAATCATGAAAATCGGTTCACAAATACTGGAGTTATCGCGTAACATACATACATATAATTGAGAACCTCCTCCTTTTTTGAAGTTGGTTAAAAATATAGGAGTAAAATAAAAATTGTTTTTGTTTCCGATTTTCGTAACACAAGTGCTTTGGCTACTTACTTTGGGATCAGAGCAACGTATGTAATGTTGTCTAATATTTATTATTATTTATAATTTGTTAACCTATGAAACAAATATTTGTTTTACGTACTTCATATTATTTTTATGTAACTTTATTACACCAAGGGCAGGAATTTCAAAACCACGTCCTGTTGTTGAAAACGGGTTATTTTGTTGTAGGTAATTTATAAGTGACATAAAGTGGTAAGCGACACACTGTCTAAAACATTTGTATCGCCGCTCAGAGCTTTAAATCACAA